GATGGCTGTTGCAAAGAGGGGCGGCTTTGCCGTGGAGGGTTCGAGGAAGAAGCTGCTGGGTCCGACATCCGGGGTGGAGCGTGGCGGGGATGTGCAGGGGCCCACGACGAGGTCCCACAGCTCCCATCAAGGCCAGAGACGTGCAGTAGCACAGGGCTCTGCCGGACCAATGCACGCTTTGTGGTGTAGGCTGAGCTAGAAAGCTGCAGGAGATCTCATCCCACCGCCGCAGCCAGAACGTTCTCCATACCTCCGCGTTTGGCCTTGGAAACATACTCGTTGGCTGCTTTCATCAGATTATGCTGGTCTTCAACTTGTTTCCTCATGTGCTCGGAAGCAGTCACAACCTGCCTCCTGCCAAGTGGGCTTTGAAATTCAGAAGAAGCCACTAGCTCTGGCTTTGGACCACCATAGCATTTGTTGGGATGTGTGGATGGTTGGGTAGAGAGAAAAGAAATGCAAGATACTGCAAAGCAACAAAATTGCAACCTGATGCAACCATCCATCCATCTAACAGGATCTGTTTCATCCAGCTGTGCCAGCACACTGTCTGCTCATGCTGATGGCAGCGGTGGCAGAGCCGCGTCGTCCAAGAAGTCACCCGACTGCCTGGTGTCCACCAGGCACAGCTGGCACTTCTCTCTCGCAGCAGCCCTACCTCTGAAGTAGCCTCTGAATTTACTCCAGCGTGAGCGAGCAGGAGTCAGGCCAAGATCTTAAGCACTATAGAGATGATGCCCATCAATATTGCAGAAAGAAAAAAAAGAAAAGGTGGGGGATAAATGAGTCTGCTTTCACCTCAAATGGAAAACCTATCAAGAGGCAGTGCTCCAGATATTCCTAACTCATCTATTCCAAATTGCTCCTCTGCAAGTCACTTTGGCTTTTCTCCCATTGCTGATGTCTTCAGCCCACGCTGGCGAAATGCAGAGTGTTTATAAAGCAATTTGGGATTTGGCTTGCTTGGCTGAACACTTCAAAAACTCATTTTGAAAAGAGAGCGCATCTGCAGCGGGATGGTGCTGCGGAGCTGGGCACTCCACTAGTGTCTGGGAAAGGGACAGGGAGTCGAAGGCTGCGAGTTAATGTTTTACGGTATATTTAAGTGCACGTGCAGGGAGCGCTGAGACCTTGGGGGCCATGCTCTCCCTGCGCACCCCTCGACTCTGGCAGGACTTTAATGAAAGCTAAGTTGAAATTTTTAGTTCCTTCATGTGCCGAGTTTGTGCAGCGCTCTGTCTGTCCGCTCTGCTGAACTTTGGTCTTTCCCTTCCTTATTCAGGCTTTTCCTCAGGACAGGCAGGAAAGTCAGTTCTTTCAGATTATTCTTTGCGACATCTCAGGAACGAGAAGTCCCTTGCTGCTGAGACCAAGAGGTGGCTTGGCTTACGCGGGGCAGAGCAAGCTGCCTCCTGCTCCGAGCTCCCTGAAGCGCTGCTGGGAGCTCCCGCAGCCAGAGCAGGTTCGATGGCTGTTGGGCACGCTGGAGAAGGAGCGTTCGGCCATAACGCAACAGATCCCTGTTTTATTGGCCATCTGTTTTTTCCCTGCAAAGCCAAAGGTTTTGGGTGCGAGGTGCTGCTGGGGAACCGCTGGAGAGGAGCCCGGCTACAACTGGAGGAGCCTTTGCAAGGTCCTGGGCAACGATCTCGGGGGCGAGCTCTTGGCACTGCAATTTCCGCATGCTAATTTGTCAGAAACGGCTAAACTTGCTCATTTTGGACTTTCTCGGCGAGGCGAATGAGAGGACTTGATGAAGGGTAGTAGGCACCTGGCTTTTGCTGTTGTTAACACTGAGCAGCCACCATGTCGTGCTGCCACTTAGCATGAATGACCTTGAAGTTTGCCTGTAGCCATCACATGAAAAGGAGAGAGGAGGAAACTTTTACTTCCAGCCCTGCACTGGTAGGTCCCATTAGGTGGGAGGAAACAGGGCACCGAGTGCTCGGGGCGAAGGAGAGCTGCAGGGTTTGTCCCGTGGTGCGGCTGGGCGGCCGCAGAGCCGGATGGGTCTTGGGTCTTTGCAAAGCACGATGCGTGCCCCCACCCTGGATCCTCCGCTAACTGAGACAAAACGAGGGTTTTATGGAGAGAAGACAAGTATTTGGTTACGAACACGCTCTTCAGCAGTGAATAGGCCGGTAGCTGCCTGAGGCGGTGAATCTGCACCTTTTGTTCTCGGTGCCAAGCGCCCGCAGCCTTCGGCCTCGCGATCCGAAGGAACGTTTGCTCGCCTAGACACCCGAGTGGCATGCTCCGCCGGAGGCCTCTCGAAGCGGAAAGCCAGAAGATGACGCGCCTTGCCCTCAAAGCCTCGCTTTGTTGGCTTTGTGCCTGCTGCTTGCGCCCTAATGGGGAACTATTCACGGCCGAGGAGGAACAAGAAGAACCCAAATTGTGGAGAGCTGCCGTGAAAAGAGGTTGTGCAGGTGGCTGCTAAATAGGCTCAGGTGCTGCATAATAGGTATAAATGGGGCTTTGTGCCTGTATTGACAGCTTCTTATCCAGCAAGAAATCTCTAGCAAATGCTGGTGTGATATTTTCTAGTTTAATGCCTTTGGAGGAGTTACTCGGCAGCGGAGGAGTGAGTCACCTGGGCTGGGCTGCTGTTTTTTCCACTGGTCTGCTGAACTTTTGCAGTGGCGCTTCCCGTGCTGGTACCTCATCAGGCTGGGGCTGAACGTGGAAAAGTGCCTTGGCTGCCTCGTTTCATACAGTTGTAGCCCTTTGGGTCCCTCTTAGCCTGTGACTTACCCTGTGCCCCCATGTGAGGACGGGAGGTGGGCGGTGGGGTGGTGTCTCCATGCCCAGGGTTATCTCTGCTGCTCCGGAGAGGCAGAAATTGGAGGTTTCCGAAACAGCCCTCTTCCAGGAAAACAGCTGATCTTGGCTTACTTTAGGGCTGAGATCAAGCCCCCTTCCTGTGCTGCTTAATCTCTTTGTTTCCTTTGTAGTGGTGGTTCATGACTAGTTCAGTCCATAATCAACTTTCTCTAACGCTTGTCTCTAGGGGGAGAAAAACCTTTGCTCGGGAGAAGGGAAAGCTGCGATAACTTATTTTATGTGTTTTCGGGTAATGTCAGGTAGCGGGAAGCCTATTGCATTGTGGAGCTCAAGCTTTACAAGTTTGTTTAAGAAAGCAGTGCAGAAGACTTCATAGTCGAAAGGCTACGGAAAAAGAGTTTCGGCACCATGTTATTCTGCACGCTTTCATTTGCAGAAGACTGAGGGCACAGTTTTTCTCTAGCACTTATTTGCAAGTAATATTTAGATTACTTGGACTCGAATCTTCAGAAGAATTCGCATTTAGACATGGGTACAGCCAGGCTGTTTCAGAAGGTAGTGCCCGGTTTAGTTAGGAAAAGATCATTTTTTGCAGTCGTGCAAGCCTCTGTTTACCAGTGAAGCTGGGGTAGTTGCCAGTGTGGTCTCCTGCTGTTTCCAAGATACCTCTACAAGTAAAAGCGCTCGTGAGGAGGCAGTTGCAGGGGTGTAAAGATGCCCTACGGCACTATAACTTATTGCTTTTCCTATGAGGAAAAAAGAAGCCAGTTTAAGCCACCTTCCTAGTAATATAACCGCATTCAAAGCAGAGGATTTTTGCTACTTGAAGTATCTTGGTGTTGTTCGGGAACAGTTTTAGGCATAGAAAAGCATCCAGAGAAGTTTTTTTTTTTGCTCGAGAGCAGGGAAATAATTTTTGTAGCGATTTTGAGGCTGCTGTTATTACTGGCCCACTTTGCTCCTTGGAAACACAGCCTGCTACAATGTGCTTCGAAGGAAGGTATTGTCTTTCAAAACTCACATAATACTGCCTTGGTCCTGTTCCCACCTTGTTGTTTGCCCTTAAAATTGGGCTCTCCAGCGATGAAGGGACGTCAGAGCTTTTTGCCTAGAAGCAGGGCAGTCTCTTGCGTCTGGATCATTACTCCGGGTTTCGGTGCACATACTGCTGCCGTGCTGATAAAAATCTTCCCTTTTTTGTTTACCAGCCAGTGATATTAATGCTTCCTGGTTTCCACGTTTTCATTCCGATTTCACGTCGCTGGTGGCTTGCATGTGCTCTTGCATGCTGAGTCCCACCATTTTTCAGGGATTTGCAAGCAGAAGGAGGCCGGTAAGGACAGAGGAGCGAGACGGGGAGAGGATGGAGAGCAGGGAAAGGGGGCTGCAGCACCCAGGCAGGCCGAGCGATTAAAAACCGAAACTTTTTGTTTGTTAATGAGAAGGGACCAAATCAGCAGCTGTGATTCCTGCTTAACGAGATGTGTGTGCGCCTGACAGTTCGTTTCCCAGGCCCAGGTATCCAGTCTCGGCTTTCTAGAGTTGCGTGTAACGAGCGTAGGTGGCTGCAGAAAAGCAAAAAAGCCCTCTTTCGTGGGCGGGAGTCGAGGCAGCATCCACCCACGTCCTCCATTATGATATTCAAATGTCAATATATTTTTAATTGGTTTATATGCCCCCCCTCCCCCTACAGCTGCCTTTGGTAATTAAGGCTCTGTAAATAGATTTTACTGTAATTGGTACGAGAAGGAAAATTGGAGGACATTGTACAGTGCATTGGCTTTTTTTTTTCTCCCCCCTCTTTCCTCTTTTGGCTCATATTACATCTGCGAGTATTATATCCCAAAGGGGAAGAGGCGGAGAGATGTGGACAGTTTTGCACAAAAGTCTGAAGCCAGGAGGGCCAGGTGGTTTCTTTATGGCTAGGAAATGGGGAAAAGGCCAAGAAATAAGCCCGGGTTACGGGTTACCCAGCTCAGGACGCGGACAGAGGTGGCAGGAGGCGCTGGGGAACAGAGCTAGTCCCTCCCCAACGCGCCAAAGGGGGCGAGACCTGAGCTTCGCTGCCGGATCTCGTCTGCCTTGAGACGTAGCCAAAACCCTTGCTGCTATATTTAGTTCCTTGTCACAGTTTCTGTCTTTACAAATTGGTGATGTTTTCCAGCTGGGGTTTCTAAACCGCTTTTTTTCTCCTTTTTCCTTTCTTGTTCTTCCAGCTTGTGTAAAGGACGGACTCTCTACTCGGTGGTGAGAGATGCCAAAATTGTCCTGGACGTCAACAAGACGAGGCAGATAGCTCAAGAAATTGTGAAGGTACGGAATGGGGCACTGCCGGGAAATAATCTGCACTTGGTCCAAGTTTTCGGTGGTGTCTCTAAAGAAAGCATCCCTGCAGCACAGGGCCCGATGGGGTGGGCCAAGGACTTAGGAGGGATCACTGCAGTGGTGTTCAGGGTGGGTGCGTGTGCATGCAACGAGACGGAGCACATGCAAGCTCTCCTGATCTAAAAATGCTTTTTCTTCCACAGACATGACTCAAAATGCAACTTTGACATGTCCTTTAAATAGATCTCGGGGAGGAACATGGCTCAGCAGAGCCAGGGTGAAGCGGTTTGGATGTTGGGTCCCAAGTGGTCAAAGTTTCCTATCGAGTGTGTGTATCAGCACTCGCGTAGGGTTATACCGTCTTTCCAAACTGATTTAATACCGAACAAAAGCATTGAGCACATGTTCTGCTGCAGCAGCCCCAACACTCCCCTTGTGCCCAGCTCCAGGTCAGTCAGCACCTCAAGCCCCCAGCAAGACCAGTCATCGGGGGATGGTTTCCTATTTAACATATTTCCATGAAAAAGGTTCTTTTTTCTGGCAGAACTTAAACCTGCTTAAATATTCAAATCCATGTTATAAAACAGCCTATATGTTTTGCAGTATATCCCGAAGAGTGTCATTTCCCTAACTGGCTGCGATCAGGCCATCTCTTCTTCTCTGATTGCCTATTTTGCATTTACTGAGACCCAGTGTTAGTAAAGCTCTTAAGTGCATACCATTTTTCAAGCGCTGCCTTAAATTCCACGGAAGCCACTCGGCTTTGAGCAGGACCTGACAGTTAAGCATATGCTTAACTGCTTTGCTGAGTCGAGTGCATTGCCGAATTTGGGGGCCTGCCGTCCGCATCTGCCCGGGCACCGCAAGGCGGATCTCGGGGTGACTCGCCAAGCCGGAGACGTGGGCGAGAGCCAGGTTATGGTGGCGGCTGGGAGGTGTCAAAAGGAAAAGGCAGCTGAATGGGTTTTTGAGGACTAGCCTAGGAGATTGCTGTTTTGTGCAGCTGCCGTTGCGTTAAGAACGGATTTGAGAGCTGTTCAAACAGAGGGCAGAAGCACGTATCTGAGATGCAGGTGAAATCTCTTGGTGGAGCCGCAAGGAATCGCCAGCGTTAGATCCAGTGCTGCTGATGTCCCTATCTATGTGAAGGAAGAGCCACTGTGAAAAAATATTACCCATGAGATCCACTGAAGCATAAAAGCAATCTTTCTTAATGCCTTTAATATGTTCAGACCTGCTTTCCTCCCCAGTGCCAGCAAACCTGCTTTCCCACTTCCTCTCCCCTTTGGGAGTATTTGAGGGCTGCTCGCACTGCAACAAAAAGGCCTTTGAGTCTGACCTGGGTCTGCAAGTGAAACGCGCAGCTGTCATTCGCAGCGGGACGACATCGGTGCTGTGGGACCCAGGTGCTGAGGTCCAGCATGCCACGGCATGGCAGGGGTTTAGAGACAGCAGCTCCCGTTTGCAGGAGAGGTGCCTTGCTCCGCTGTTGCGGCAGCCCCGTGCTTGCGTCCTGGCCAGACCCAGCTGCGGCACGGCCGCCTGGTGCTGGCGCCTGCACCACCTGCGTGGCAGGAGGGCTTTTTGGAGTTTCTTTGCTTTCCTGCCTCTCTATGTCATGTAGAGGCTGATGTTTTGGTGGATCTGGAGGTGGCTGGTGGTGCCAAGTGAAGAGGAATCCAGATGTCTTGTTTTGAGCCTCAACCAAAGATGGGAAAATCCCTTTCGGGCTGTGGTAGCCACCTCGCTAGCTGAGTACTGAAGGGAAGAGGGGTGGCACAGCCACTCACTCACTCTTTCTCTCCATCTTTCTAACCGTTTGCTGGACTCCTGTGCTGGACTCCACTGCAGAGCTTGCCGAGGTGCTTCCTAACAGGGCAACCAGAGCCATGGGTGCAGGTCTGACGCTTTTGGAAGAGGACACATTTCATGCACCAAGTGACAGCTCACTCCCCATGGGAGCCATTCGTTGCATCACCCAGTCGTTCCTGCCTGCTATTTCTTTCCGTGACGTCCGTTTGCATCTTCAGCGTCTTGTTAAAAAATTTCCTGCTGGTTTGGCTTAGGAAGGGCTCGGGGCAGTGTCACCCGAAGGAAGTGGATGTAAGAGCACAGAGGATGCCTGGGCTGCGCTACTGCCGTCACAGCGGTTATGTGATTTCATCCTTTGAGGCTCTGTCTGAGATAGTTGATCCTTTAAGCTTGTTGGATTCCTGGGTGCAAGGGTTCTCGTTACGCTGTGATTCCCCGGAGGCAAAAGTTAATTTGTTTAAGAAGCTAAGCCGGCAGAGGGAGCTGGCTTTTCACATACACAGGACATCTGAGCGAATTAAGGCATTACTGCACGGGGACTGTTTTCTCACAGATGATCCTCGCGGCGAAGCCAGCGGGGATGGAATTTGCAGTGGGATCTGCGCTATGCTCCGTGGAGCCAGGTGTGGGATTGGGGTTTGTCGGAAGGGCCGATTGCCAGGCCAAGAGTGCCTTGGGAAACACCTTCAGCAAAGGCTTGGCTCCGTTTCCCAAAACGCAGCCCGCCGCTGAGCCTCCATCAGTTGCCAAAGTAAATAAATCTCAATGGGCAAACGCACACACAGCTACCAGGGAAGTTTGGCCTTGCCACAAAATCCCCGCCTCGAGTTTGGGAAGTATCTCAAACGGCACCTGCTCTGCTGGGAGAGAGCAAGCGGTTAGTGGGCTGCCTCTGGATTTCTGTGCATGCAGTGTGCTTTTTCTTGTAGGCACCTCTTAGCCACTCTGGAGGCTTTATATAATGCTTGGCTTTGCAAAGCCACCTCTTTTTCCACTGACATCCACATGTATCCCCTGCTGGCAGTACAGCCCTGCATCTAGGCTGGGGCCAAGGCCACCTCTGTCTCCAAACCCAGCATCTCCCTCCTTTGTAAAGTCTGTCCCCGGTGAATGTTCCTTGCTGCATTTTGAGCCATTACTGCCTTCCCCGTGGCAGCCGTCCTTGGCAGTTCTGCGAGTTGTCTCCGCTCCTCTTCTACAGGCTAAACAGCTCCTTTTCATTTGGTCTGGCCACGTGGTTGAGTTTTGCAGACCTGCACACTGGTCCCTATGCATCCATGCGGTCCTTGAAGCCGGCACAGGGTGGGAGACGTATGGTTGGTGGCATCCCGGCCACATGCCAGCTCTAGGGTTGCTCCTGGCTCGTTCCTGCTGCTGGTTATTCCTTGATCTTTTCGGGACTTTGCCAAGTCCCAGCTGTGTCTACGTTTTCTTTTTTTCCAGATTGCTTTCCCAGTTTGTCAGGACCATTTTGAGTTTTAGTTTGTATCCTCGTGCAAATTGTACCTCCTGTCTCCGTATCATCTGCAAATTCAAAAATACACTCCTGTTCTGCTGCCTGTGTGGTTAATGAAAACGCATGAAAATATCAGCGTGAGGATAGACCCCTGTGGAAATCCACTTAATAAATCCTTCCATGTTGGCAATGAACAGTTGATATTTGCTCCAAAGTAACAGTTTTTGGTCCAGTTTTGCATTTATCCAAAGGTAATTTCATCTAGAACAAGTTTCTCTTGTTTGCCTAAGAGCGTGTCGTGTGAGCCAGTGTTGAAAGCCTTGCTAGAGTCAGGATAAATGGCATTTACTGCTCTCCCTGCTCACAAGGCTGGTTATCCTACGGAGTTAAACGCCCGCCACATGGAGCTGTCTGCAGTCTGCTCCGTTTGACGATGCTAAACAAGCCCGGTGCCAGTGAGCTTGGATTTCCCACCCATGGCCTTTTTTGCATCATTAGCAATAATTTTAATTAACCACCAAGTAGCTTTTCCTAGGGAAAAAGAATTAAGCTGGGACTCCTACGAGGCTCTTGTTTGCAGGCTAATGGTGTCGGTGTGCATGTAGGAAGCGTTAATGACTCAGCCCGGGTGTGCAGCGGTGGTGATGGAGAGCTCTGACTTATTACCCCTCAGCTCCCAAACCCAAAAGAAAACGAAGGCCAAGTCATCATCATCAATTTCCCAGCAGAGGATTTCAGGAGAGCGGCTGCGATGTTGTAGGCCGTTACTTTTGCTGCATGAGAAATGAGTCAGGAAGATGAGCAGGCACCAGCTCAGCCGAGAGCACCGGGGCTCGGGCTCCTTCCCGCTGCAGCGCTCTCCGAGCCCCCACGAGCACCAGCCACCCCAACCCCGAGGCCTGCTGGCTGCCCGCCCTCGCTCCTTTTGGCAGGGAAAGGGAGGCAGAGCATTAACGGACATTTCGGGATGTGCAGCCTGGTTTTGGTTTGGCCCAGTCCCAGCTTTCTAGTGTGGATGCACTGCCCTGGTGCAAATACTGCAGCTCTGTAGGGAGAGGGACATAGCGGCTGGGCTCTCCCCATCCCGGCAATCGCGGGAGCTGCCCCGTCTCCTCTGGCGTTAATCCTCTTTGTTCCTGCCTCTCTTTCAGTTTTCTTTTCTTTTTTTTTCTGTCCTAGGGAATGGGGTACCTGCACGCCAAGGGGATCCTTCACAAAGATCTGAAGTCGAAAAATGTTTTCTATGATAACGGGAAGGTGGTCATCACGGACTTCGGCCTCTTCAGCATCTCAGGAGTGCTGCAAGCAGGCAGGTAGGACATAGCACGGGTCAGTCGTCTGCTGGGAACGCCGGGATTGCCCTCCGCGGTCCAAAGCAGCGACTGCCCTCTCTCCTTCCCCTGGCTTACATCGCCCCGTATGAGCTGGGACGGCAGGAGGGAGGGCGTGCACAGGGGTGATTTTGCCCAGATTTTCTCGTTGACGTGAACCTTGCGGTCTGGGTTTCTCTTCTGAGAGCAGTAGCTCGATGGGGTCATGCTGCGGGTGTGCCAGGCTGCTGGTAGCTCCCCGACCACGGCACGCTCCTTCAACGTGCGACTCCACGCACAACAGCCTTCAGAGGAGTATTTGGCAGTGCAAAATCCTTGCTGAACATCTCTAAAGGCCTCACAGACTCCAGAGCTGCAGCTTTGAGAGGTTGGTTTTTGCACCTTGGAAGCAGCCGTCCCTGCCTCTTTCCACGCAGCTACTGCACGCTGCCAGACTGGGGATGGAGGTGCAGGGCTGCGCACCTGCCTCCTTGTATTTTATTTTATTTCTTAAGCCTAGTGTTGGGAAAGCAGCTTTGCTTTTATCAGCACTAGCATTAGCACGCGGCTGCATATGAGCCTCCAACACCATTTAGACATGGAGGGGCAGGACCTGGCTCTGGCCAGGCCTCTTGGCCCCAAACTCCTCCTTGGGTTGAGCATCATCTCAGTGCCCAAAAACCCCCTGCAAGATGTTCCTTGGGATCTGTTTCACCAGGGTCGTGAAAGCCGGCTCATACCTTGGCCTTTCCCTGATGCAGCCCCTATCATCCTTAGGCATCTGTTGCGTCTCGCGCTTGCTGGCCGCTGAGCGATGCAGCCACAGTGGCAGCCTGGGCTGACATGTCCCCTTCGGCCATGGCTGTCCCCCAGCTGCTCCGGTGACCTTTTGCTGCTGCAAACATCTGGTCACGGTGGCCATGATGAGCCGCTGCAGAGAGCTGCTTTTCTTGACAGAAAGCCAAGAGCCAGGCTCAGAAAGGCATTTACAGCACTGCAACTTTTTTTGTCTTTTTAGGTTTGAAATCAACCACATTTGGTAAATGTTTCCTATTATTCAATGTTTTTCCAGCACTTTGGGAAGTTTTCAAGCTAAAGAAATGATAGGGCAAAAAACACAGGATTTCAGCAGCCTTGGAAAGGAAGAAGAGCAGAAGTTGTTGCACAAAGCGGTTGACTGTGCTGCTGGCCTTTTCTTACCACTTGCATAATTATTGTCTTCCTGTTTTTCGCACAAACTTAGCCAAAAGCTTTGAAAGCCCAAGAAATACCACAGTCCTGCCACTTTCCCTGGCAGGCTCGCAGCGGAGAAATGCAGCAGAAAAGGAGCTTTCAGTATAGCTTATCCTGACTGCTCGCTCCACCAAAACACGCAGAGTTCGGTATGAATCTGCTGCTGCCAGAGATCTGGGGGAAGGTTTCCAGTTTTTGGGGTCTGCACTCACCAGCTGCCACAGTTTTTGAAGCAGAAAGTGTCTGGTGATCTGATTTCCCTTTTCATTGCGGCATCAGTTGTCATCTCTGAGTCAGATGAGATTTTCAGCTTTCCAGAGGGACATTTTTTTGCTTGTTACGGTTTCTCCCAGATAAAGAATAGCAAGGAAGGTCCAGTTTTGGGGCCTCTGAGGCTTGGGTGGCCACTGGGTGAGCATTGGAGTGGAGCAGAGAGCTTATTGCAGGTCAAGGGAAGGCCTGTGCTCCTGCCGCGGCTTGCAGACGTGGATGAGAACTACGCACTGGGCTGTCTTCACCAGGGCTTGCCTTGTGGTGACTGAAGCATGTCGCCTACCATGATTTAAAAACCCTCCTCTTCCTCCTAGCAAAAGCTTGCCTTGAGTTGTTTTTTGCAATCTGTGCAATAATGCAGTTGCTCTTCTTAAAAATAAGGCAGCTATCATAACTGCATTCAAGAGGCTTCATAATATAACACCTTACCCTGATAAAGTCATATTTATCTTTCTTTTATATAAAACATTCTTGGACTTAGCAGGGCTAAGGAAGAGCATGAGGTGGATTTTGAGTGGTCTGAAGAGCTCTTCTGCTCTCACTTTTTACTGTAAGCTTGCTTTTCCTTCACTGGTCTTTGCAAGATGCTCACTGGATTTTGTTCCTTTCTATTAGTCAAAGTGGCCAGGTCATTTATGAAATCAGCCCAATTTTTGTCATGAAATCCCAAATTGCCTTAATTTAACCAAATCTAGGGTTTTGTTACAGCTCAGCCCTCGTTGCTGGAGGCTCAGCAGCCCTTAGGCTGCATACTTGGGTGTCCATGAATGTTGGGTGGGCTCATGCTGGAGCTCAGAGCCAGATCCCACTGCCAGAACCTCCTGGAGCGAGCAGGGCATCCCGATCCTGGGGTGCTGCTGGACTGGGTGACCTGAGTCCACAAGGACCTTGGCACGGGGCTACCTCAAATCATCTCAGAGCTGTCACAGCCTGGGAGAGAACAGAGGGGGACTGCAAAAAAAAAAAAAAAGGCCACAAAACCAAGGCCTGGCCTTGCTGAGGACTATGGAGCAGATCTGAGCCTGCCTGGTTGTCTCTCTCCACCTTGCCCACCTGGGGACAAGAGTCATGAGCATAAACGTCAAGAGCGCTGGTGGGGAAGGAAGAGAAAGTACCTTTGTGCCTTCTTTAATTGACCCCAGTGCTTAACGTCAGCTTGTAATTAAGAGCCCTGCGCACGGATCAAGGATGGAAATCGGAGCTCATCGGTGGGAGCTGAGAGCTTCCCTCCTGTGCTGGAGTGCTCTCGCCTCTGCCTCCCAGAGAACAGAGGCGCCTGAGCATCACCGATGCTCCTGATTGCTGAGACGCCCTCCTACGCGGCCAAGATGAAGAGGAGCTGTCGAGTTCCTGGAGCGGTGATGGAGACGTAATGAGCTGAGCCAGTTCCTCGTGCTGTCCTGAGCCTCCAGCGCTGCCCCTTTGCGCAATGCCGTGGTGGCCGTGTTTCTAACGGGCTGGTGTCCTTTGCTGGCTTGCTCACGGTCTGCCTGAGAAAGTAGCAGGAGCGCACTGGGGATGGGGGGGGGGTTCCCCTCTCGGCACAGGTGGGAACGGAGCCGCAGGGTGATGGGGGTGTCTCTCTGGCCCCCAGAGCAAGAGCTGCTGCGCAGAGTGAGGCAGACCCAAGCTTTGAGATTTTGGTCACAGACTGAAGTTTGGGAAGGCAGGTGACTCCGAAGCCTGTCCCTCACCGCATGGGGATCGGTACCCTATGGAGGGAATCAAAGCCCCCAACAGGCAAAAACTTCTCATTATGAAAAGGCAGGTTCTTTGTTTTCTGTCCTGATACAACATCATGCAGCTTCTGTTACCTTCTACAAATGTACACTGCCAAATTTGGCTCAGACACGTGATCGAGCTGCTTAACAAGTCACCATCCATCAGCTGCACTGTAGTACCTGACCATTTACCTGCTCTTTGCTCACCATAAATGCAAAGTAATGTGGGCTAACTCCTCGTTAGACCACCTATGTCCCACAGCCACGTCCAGGGTGGCTTGTCCCTCCAGTGGATGCTTACCTTCTGCCAGAGAGGGAAGAGCATTGTTTTTGTAGAGCAGCCCCTTGGGGAGCAGGGGCAAGGGGGAGCCACATGAGTTGCCTGGAGGATTTTTTTTTTATGCCAGTGCCAGCATGGCCTTTTTTTCCACGCATTGCTCACATTTGCTGGACAAAGTTCAGTGTCACGTAGGGGCAAAGGGGAAGGAAGTCATGAGGGCTGGCTCTAGAGTGGGCCTGGCCTTGCCCACCGGCACCAAATCTCCTGCTCATCCCTGTCTTTGTCCGACTGCTGCAAGAGAAAACGAACCGGGTGTTAATACTGAGGGCATTAAAACCCCAGGTCACGCTTTGCCCATGTTCTTTTGAGGACTTTTGGGGCAATTGTGGCAGCGAGGACTCTGCGGCGGCGCGAGGACGTGGATGCGGCCGGTGCCAGCCCTGGGCATCGCTGCCCCTCGCCGCGGTCCCACGGCGGCCCTGCACCAGGAGCGCCACCACCGTTTCTGCTCTCCATTTATCAAAGCAGGGTTAAGACCCAGGGCTCCCAAGGGTGCCGCGGGGTGGTTTGCTGGCAGCGCGGCGGGACGGGCACCCACGGCCCCGGCTCTGTGTTTCCTCAGGAGGGAGAACAAGCTGCGGATCCAGAACGGCTGGCTGTGCCACCTCGCCCCGGAGATCATCCGCCAGCTCTCGCCCGACACCGAGGAGGACAAGCTGCCCTTCTCCAAGCATTCGGATGTTTTTGCACTTGGGTGAGTCCCCGTGGTGGGCCGGGCGGGCAGCTGCGCTGCAGGGGACCGGCACGCTCGTGTCGGGTGTGACCTGTTCCCAGCAGCCGGATGGGCAGGGAAAGCAGAGCGGGAGCTCCCGTTGCTGGGGTCAGAGCATCTTCAGCTTCGGGAAGATTCCAATTAAAACCCCCCAAATCCACGTTTTTCAGCTCTAAACCGGGGCTGGCTTTGGGAAACAAGAATCAGCCCTTCCTGGGGATTTGTGTTTGGCGTGATGTCCTTTAATATTCCTAGCATGGCTAGTGCTGAGAAATCGGTTTGAAAGCGGGACGGGGGTGCAGCTGTACTCAGAATCCCCCTTTCTCCCTGATGGGTGTCTGCAAATGGCATCGCTGCAAAACCGAGGCGCGCAGGGGGAGGAGATGCCAAACGCCTGCGAATACAATAATTGATGAACCTCCTTTGGTGAGAGCGTTCAGTGAACCAGTTAATCATTTGCGCTATTTATCGAAAAGAAAACATCCTTTATGACAGGAGCCCAATCATTCCCCCGATAAAATCTTTCTCGGGGCAGACGCAGGGCTATAGGTTTTCTCCGGTGGATTAATTTTCTTGCGTGCTGTGCCAATGGACACCATAAAAACTGCAGGCTGCGGTGATTAGTTTATGTGGAGCTGTTATCTGATGTGATATTTCCATCAAAAATGCAGTAATTAAAGCTGTAAGGGTTTGGAGTTTTTTTCTCCCTCGAGATATAACTTTAGCACAAAAAAACCCCACAAAAGAAGTAATTAAGGGATCTTATCGAACTAAGTGAAAGTCCGTTATTTAGACTGGAAGTTGTTTTTTGGTTTGCTTTGGTATTGAGAGTTCTGCACTTATGTAAAGTTGCAGGCAAGTTCTTTAGACGGTTTTCCCCCGTTTTTGCGCTTTCTTGTTTCTGGTGTTCCCCAAGCCTGGGATGATGATGGCTCGTTCCCGGGGGGCGTTGCCATTGCAGCTGCAGAGGGGCTAGCTTGCACGTAATTTCCCCGTGTTGCTTTGGGGCTCAGTGATGACAATGGGCAAAGCTCTTTTAAAGACTCCTTAGACGACAGACTTCTAACAACTCTGGGAAGCTACGTCCTCGCTGCGTGGGTGGGCGATGGGTGCGATCCTCGATGGGAAACGGTGCGCATCCCCGCTGCCGTATCCCCGCGTGGTCGGCCCGCTGGTATTTTGTATAATCAAAAGGGAGATTTGCAGCCAAACCATGGATATTTTTCCCAAATTGGGATATCTACCTCCCCTTCCCAAGAGCTGCTTTTGGTTTATCAGGCTCCCGGTAGCTCTGCCAGGTTTACTGTGCACGTCGGCACCGTTTCTTGCAGGTTTAAGTGGCCGTGGTGGCAAACCTTGAAGGGACACTGCAGCTCAGGGAATTTGCCCTGGAAATAGGGGCTCTCACTGCCTTCTTGCTAGGCCTGCTCCTGCTGTGGCCCGCTGGGCTGTGGTGCTCAGTGCATCCCCGAACCTCCCTCTTCCCCAGGCGGATCCGTGGAGCGCATCGGGGGCAGCTGGAGCTGGAGCTTATCCCCAAGAAGTGGGGAACTGAGATTGCGGCGGGGGCTGTGAGCCTGGCGGCGCGGGGCGCTGGGCACGTTTCAGGGAGCTCGCCTGCGCACCGGCTGTCGCTTTGCAGTCCGTCCCTCCTTGGCCAGCTGAGACGCGCTCCCCTTCGCTGACGGATTCCTGCTTTTCCGTGAATACCTGGGAGAGGAAGCGCGCGAGGCCATCCATCTGCCCCCGCCGTGCGCGTTTTGCATTGTGCAGCAATCGCTGCTGTCATGGACAATACATTTTTTTTTTTCTTTCTCCCCCTCAAGTCACGTCTCGGTGCATGTTATAAATGCGGAGCAGAACAATACCCGTGGACAGGCCTGTCTGCCTCCGAGCGCTTCGGAAGCAGAAGATTGATGTTTCTTCAAAGCGTGGGGGAAGCGGATGAGAAATGCTGCACGGTAGCGGGGGCGGAGGACTGAGAAGGCAGCGGCGGCTGAGAGCGCGCGAGGGGTCTGCCAGGAGCGTGCCACCTAGCAACGGCAGCTCGGGACTGAAGGGATGGGTGCAGCGCAGGGGTAGCAAATGCCCTGATACTTCGGCCTCTGTCACTTATTCATGCTTTAGTAGAGCAAATTGGTTAATGTTTGCACAGTGTGTATCTGAGCTGTAAGGGATCCGTCAGCCAAGCGCCTGCGGGTCCCGTGGCGTCGGCTGTCTGTATGGTGCCGTTACACATCAGCGAGGTGTGGTCTGCCAGAGTCTGCAGGCAGCAGATGCAGCAGCCTGGGGGTTAATGTAGTAAACTGCTAATCGCTTTAGGAGACACGTTTGGCAAATCCCCCAAGCTGTTGGGTGTCCACTGTACAGTTGGGGGCCTTTCAGTGTAAGCGTTTGCAGCGCTGCCCCCAAAGTCAGGGGCTTGGGCAGAGAGAGAGGGGCTGAATTCACAGTTAACTCGCCTGGCTGAATTACTCATTTTGGTTGAATTCAGCAAGGAAAGTGCTGCAGATTGACATGGAAATTAGGACCGAAGCACTTCAGAGAAGGTTGGTCCTCGGCGTATTGATAAGAGCAGCAGAGCAGCATATGGCCACGGGCTCACGTGTGCTCTCACCCGCAGGGAGGTGGCAGTGCTGCTGCCCCGGGAGGACGGATGGGACAGCTCACGCGCCGTTGCTTTGACAGCCGAATGCTCTTTGCGGAGGGGGAAAAAAGAGCAAAAGCAAATTCTCACACTTCTCCTTCCACTAAGCTCCCTTTGACATGCAGCTGGAGCAGGTGGCGGGATTATAAAAGGTAGCCCGGCAGCTGTAAGGCGTATTTACCCCCTGCATTATCTATTAAGCTACTCCACATGCAGCAGGTCGAAGGACTATTGCAACGCGGTAGGAGATTTCCACTTGATGTAACAGGCTTACTATCGCATCTGCCCGCGGAGTCCGTCCTCCACCCGCCAGCCACGCTTGCCGCTGGGGTGTTGCCCTCGCCGCGCTGGGGTGCTGAGCGTCCGGCCTGCTGTGCGCAGTGGCCGTGGCACAGGGTTTCACCACCTAGCGTGAGGTGCCTTTGTATTTTGGATCGTGCCGGTGGTGATGAGGCTGTTCTGAGGATGCCAATGACCTGGTGGCTTGCTTGCAGCCAAGTCAGCAGCCTCGGTTTCTCTGTCTGTAAGATAGAAGTGGTGACCTCTTTGCAAAGAGCCCTCTGAGAAACTCTCCTGGCGGTGGGCACTAGATGGGGTTGGTTTTTTTTTTGTGGATGATTTTTGAGCAGGGAGAGGACATGGAGGCAAGTGTGACACTCAGGCTTGCCCCCTTGGGATACCTTCGAGCTCCTTAACTCTCCTAACCAGCAGTGCCACTCTCTCCTACAGCACTATCTGGTATGAGCTGCACGCGCGGGAATGGCCCTTCAAGACACAGCCGGCGGAGGCAATAATATGGCAGGTGGGAAGAGGGATGAAGCCCAACCTCAGCCAGATCGGAATGGGCAAGGAGATCTCGGTAAGTGGCGTGAGGCAAACGGCGGAGCCGTGTGTGCGTGCATGCATGCATGTGTGCACCGCATGGAGGGGGACTGTGCCCTGTTGCAGCGCACGGACACGGCAGCAGCGAATGCCCTGGGTGCTATGCCCCTCAGCCAATGCTCTGCCGTGCTGGTGATCTGCCAGCAGAAAAGCAAGGCATCCCTTCTTCCCCAGTCTGCAGGACGAGGACTCAGTTCCTGCCACCGTTGCCCAAATATTAATAAGGCCTGCACATCCCTTGCTCACCCTGGCTCTTCACAAGGAGGCGGTGATGGAGATGGGGCCCAAGCAATAGATTTCCCTGCAGGAGCTGATGAGGGACGCTGGGCTCAAGGATTGGGATGTGGGGCAGATGTTTGGTTTGGGGGACATGCCCGGAGAAGGTTTGGCTCTTATTTCTCATGCCCTGGCCCTGTGTGGCTGCAGGACATCCTCCTCTTCTGCTGGGCCTACGAGCAAGAGGAGAGACCCACCTTCACCAAGCTCATGGACATGCTGGAGAAACTGCCAAAGCGGAACCGTCGCCTTTCCCATCCCGGGCACTTCTGGAAGTCAGCGGAGTAAGTCTCTGCCTTCACCTTCCTCCCGAACTGTCCAGGACTTTGTTCTGGGCCCCCCGAGACACTGCTCATGCTGCTGAGGGGTTGGGGCTGGATGGACACACGGACGAGCTGTGGATGTGTTCAGTGCCATGTGCGTTCTTGCTGCCTCAAGGGGTGGGTGAGGTTGGGTAGGGAAGGGTGGTTGGTCACAGAGTGACGTTTGCAGCACATGTGAGTTGTCATTGCAATTCTGCCTGTCCTTGTTGCCTGCTGTCTTCTGGGTGAAAGACCTTGTAAAAATTGGAGGTGATCAGGAGGAGCCTGGTGATTTGCTTCCACTGGAAGATCCTATGTGAGGGAGAAAAACCGGGAGATGTCCAAGGGCAGACTAAAACCAGCATCTTCAAGGAGAAGTGAAGAGGTGATGAGGGTGGGAAGGAAGGAGCTAGAGCGAAGCAGCCAAGAGGAAGAGGGTTGCCCTGGAGGAAGGTGTCCCCACTGCAGTGTGCTCCATGCTAGGGCATGCAGTCATGGTTTCTCGGTGCCCCTGAGTTGCTACAAACATTGTCAGATCAGTGGGATCCCGTGTTTGATTCAGCAGAGGATGAAGGTTATTAGGTACATCTGCTTTATGGGCTGCTTCTGCAAATTCCTGGTGTTCACAGGCCCATATGGGTGTCAGAGGTGGGCCTTGACCTGGAGATGTCTTGGAGAGACATCTTGGGATACGCAGCACCTGCCTGGGATTTTGTTTGCCCTTGAGCCTTCCCGTGCAAAGCTTTCCCTCTTGTGAAGTCTGATTTTCCTTTTTGCCCAGAGAAATCAGCAGAGGGGGTGATTTCTGAAGGGTCCTTGCTTGGCCCGGAGTCACTCCTGAGACCTGCAGGCAACGTGACCTGGAGGTGGGGGGAAAGAGGATCGACTTCTGGTCTGTTACCGACAGCATGTGGCCAAATGGTGCTCCTTTCTGAGCTTTGGCTTAGTTACATCTCCCTCTGCTTCAGCAAAGATGCAGTGTGGGTAGGTCCTGAGCAAGGGTTTCAGGATTTGGTCTATTGGTAGAAGCAGAAAAAAATGCAGAAGAATTACTTAGAAACTAATATTCTTCCTTTGTAAGTTTGTGCGAGTGGGAACGTTTGCCTTAAAATTCCTCATATATCATTTATAAAAAATTCAACCAAAAGCCTAGTGTGGCACCATGCAGAGGTTTCCCACCCTTACCTAAAGGGAAGAGATTTCTCCTCATCCTGGAGCGCATTCACAGACTGTGGAAACCAGAAACCCGGGCGGAAGATAGGAAGCCACCTATAGGAAGAGATGGTCAGGTGCAAAGCTGACCTAGGGGTTGCTCTCCTGAGGGCACTCCTAACTGATGCACGCATCCTACTTGGGCCTGCCCAAGGGCTTTGAGATGCAGATGTCTCCTCCTGCATCTGCTGATCAGTCCTCCTCACTTTGTTAGCTCTGCCCGGCAGTCTGCGGCAGTCGTCTCTTGCCTCTTCTCGAACTGCAGGCTGTTTCAGGGTTGTGGACGCAACGACAGCTGGATGCGTCCCCCTTGTGCCACCCTTGTGCTCCCTCTTGGAGCGGCCTGTCCTTCATCCCATTCCCGTGAGCATCCGTGCTCGGGAGGGGCTCCAGCACCCCTGGGAACAAGGCAAAGGCAGCGGTCAGATGGCCCCCAAAGCACCCAGAATGCAAGCCTTTAATCAGGAGGGAAGTTAATTGCTGGTCTGTGCTCCGAGGAGGCAGCAGAGTGGCTCCAGCAGCCAGACGAGGAAAGCTGGAGGTGGCTGAACCCCAGCGCAGCAGCCTGTGTAATTGCTTGGTTGCGTTCGGAAAGGTCTTGCAATCACGGAGCGATGGTCTGGCCAGGGGCTTTTGCTGCTCCTTAATTACTGGCCCCCTCTTTTGCTTGCTCCATGTGAGGGGGCATTGCAGCTCGGCCCTTTGCCTACTGTCCGAGATGTCCATGCGGCTCGCGGTGCTCACTGGGAGCTGCCGTGCCGGGGTGATGCTAGCGCCGGGTTGCTCCTTTGCAGTGCCGTGGGCAAAACCGCTGAGCCGTCCCCTGCGGGTGCTGACTGCGCTCTGTGTTGTGTTTTTCCTTCCTCCAGGCTGTGACAGAAGGACATAAGGGACGGTGCCTTCCTCCCCTCTTCAGCTCTCCTCTCCTCTTCCTCCCTCTGTATGCTACCGAAGAGCCGAGGGCGCTGCGGAACGCCAGCGTGAGACGGCCCAGCCGCCCGCAGCCCGGCTGCGAGGGAGGAGACGGTGGACGGTCCTCCGGGGTTGCCCGGAGTTGCGCGTGGAGTTGCCCTTTGGGCGTTTGCCCGCCGGTTCCCTGCGGAGCAGGGGGGAAGCGAATGGGCAAACAGCTTTGATTTAACCCCAGGGCTTTTCCGATCCTAATCAGCATGGTCAGCGCTAGTGTTGTTCATTTGGGGGGATTTGCTTCTTCCTTGGTGGTTTTTTTTCTTTCTTTATTTTTATTTTATTTTATTTTTTGTTAAGGGAAAAAAAGGGGGGGACGTTGCTGATTCACCAGTTTGCCACTCGAGCCGGTGCCCGCCTGCCAGGGGAGTGGGAGCGTTGCTGCTCTTAGCTGCCTCCCGCGGAGAAAACCCATCTGCAGAGCTGGAGACGGGGGAGCCCGGCTCCCGCGCTCCTCCGCAGCCCCTTAATGGACATCCATGACCTTTCATCCTTCCTGGCCGGACCCATTTGCGCTCCCCCCCTCCCCGTCTCCCTCCCAGCAGGGCACGTATCCATATTCATGCTAAATTAGCCGTTTGCCCTGGCGTGGAGCTCATCAGCAAAGCCGCTCTCTTGTTCGCCCTCCTTGGTGCTGCTCTTACCCACTTTGCTCTTTTCGTGGCCCCTCTCTCCAGAAGTAGGTGGTGCAGGCAGCAGTGGGGTATTTAAGACCTCGCTGGACACATCCGGAGTCCGGGCGTGCGGCCGGAGCAGTTGTGTCTGGCCGCGTCTTCCCGTCGTGCCGGAGGTGGCCTCTGTCACCCGGCGGTGTGGCAGGTCGCGGGGCGAAAACGCACCCGCAGCGAGTGCAGGGTGTGCAGGGGTGTCAAGGTGAGCGTGCAGGGAACAGCAAGCCCGGAGACCCTTGTGGCAAATATTACCCGCTGCTGGGGCTTGGACCGCCCCACAGAGCTGCTCTCGGGGCTGCGGCTCGGGGCTGGAGTTTTCAGCGGGTCCCTCTGACCACCAGTTCAGACGGGCCCTGGAGCCCGTTGTGTGAGACGCCGAGCGACAGATGACAGCCAGTTGCGTTTTCAGGCCCTTACTGAACTTAATTGCTCAACTGGAGCCCTCTTGAATGATTTAATTGCGGTATAAGTTAGCTTTAATTTGGAGACGTTGCAGCTCTGCAAACTAACCAGTCCTGTTTCGTTTGCTAGGAGTTACTCCAACTCACTTCTGCCAATGTTTTGGCTGCTTTAGTGTGAGTAAGTAAAGGTTAGAAATGCCTGCTCCACGTTGCATTTAGGAAGAAATATCACTTTAATTAAGGAGGAACATAAGAAAGCGGTTGGATGCCCTTTCTGTCCTCTCTGTCTGTCCCGGGTTCATGGCGCCGGGCTTGAGTCTCTATCCGCAGGTCCAGAACAGGGGAAGCCAGGATTTTTGCATTTTGTCCCAATGTATTTAGTTTAGTTGAGTTTTACGTTTGCTCCTGGACTAACTCAGCGGCTGAAATAGGTTGTACATGAGGCAGGAGACCTCGCGGCAGCAGTAGGCTCAGAGGCGGATGCGATTTTTTGATCTGAGAGATGGGAAAATGTTCTTTCTTGCGCGAGGGTACGTTGCGGGCCAGGTTTAGCCAGTACCTGTAGCTCCCCTTGGCCTCGCTTTCCTTCGCCAAGAAAGGTGCAAACGGGGCAGCACTTCCTGCAGGAGCCGGCTGCCATCACGGCACCTGCCCTGGTTGCTGCTGGGGGCCATGATTGGGCTGGTTTTCACCTGGTGACTCTGGAAGCTGCCACAGGTCTTGCAAATAGCTGGGAATTAAGTCAGGCTTAACATCCTGAGCCAGCGGCGCTCTTTGTAGAAAATCACTCAGAGCATCAGCAGCTGATGGGATTTTTCTCACAAGTGGAGCGTGCCAGAGAGAGATAAAAGGTGATGCCACAGTTGATACTCAGCACTAAATTCCTGTAGCCCTGTAGGTGTTGTGCAAACTTGCGTTAGGAGGTGCCACATCCTCCTCGGAAGGTGTAACGCGGGTTTGCTGCCCACGCGCCGAGCCCTCCTCCGCTCGCCTGGCTTTCGGTAGCAACATCTCACCTTGAAACATTTCCTCGCAAGACTTTGAGCAGCTGGTGACAGATGCCTCCCCTAATTTGTCGGCCAAGACTCAAGTGAAGGAGTTAGCTGATGAGCGGCGGGTTGACTGCGTTGCTCCGCAGAGGGCAGGGCGCTCGCCTTTCCGCGCCAGATCTTGGGTGTCTGCAAGTGATCCTATGCCCGACAGCTCTTAGCTTGTCTTCAGCCTTTAAGAGCCACATTTCTCTTTGCTACAGCTCTACCAGAGCTGGTTTTTTCCTGTCACCTTGGCCCCTCTTAATAAGTGGCCACTGCGCTCACAAACAAAAACGTCACCGTTTCCTCTGCACCTCTCCTCTTCCTACCCCACGATAACGCCTCACCCAGGCCATGAGTAGAGAAAGCCGTTGCACAGTAGTGTAGATGGAAAAATAGCTGCCCTGTGTTTGTCATAAATTAGCCCCGAAGAGCAGCTCCTTTCCCTCCATTCAGCGCAGCAACGATTGTTTATGCAGCCATGTTATTTGCATCGTGCTTTCTTGTTTTTGAAAGTCTTAATTATTCAAAAAAAAAAGTTTTTTTTTTCACTCTTTGTTTTTTAACTCCAGCTTTGTGCATGCTCTTTTCCCGGTTTAAAAATATCCAGTCCTTCAGCCTGGAGAGAATGTAGGAAAAAAAACCCTCTCCACAATGCCCTCTAATAGGAGATCCGAAGGAGCAAGAAAGTTCATCCGGTTGCTCAGTTTAGCTGCGTGAGCTGCAGGAGAGACGTGGGTTATTTCAAGATGTGCTGGGCAAGAGTGGAGACCGTTTCCGAGCAGCGATGTTTGGAGCAGCGGCTTGTTTTGTACCAAATTGCCCCTCGCACCTCCGTGGGGGCCGTTATTGCTTGAGAGAGCTGGATCTGAGCTGCCCGTTCTCCTGGCCGCTGGGTGATGAGGGCTTAGTCCACCTTGGAGAATCAGGTCCTTCCTATTGTGGGGGAATTTTGAACCTTATTTGAGTGGAGATGCGGGGTGGTGATCCCACGCTGCAGCGGGCTCCTGTAGGCTGTCATCGTTTCTGAGCAGAGGACGCTTGTAAGAGCAGGAGACTTTTCTGAGAGGGATCTGGAGAGTCGGCAGGACCCAGCGGTCTCCAGCGTGGCACCAGCGATGCTCTGCTGGTCCCCTCCTTGAGCTGGTGGCTGCTTCGTTCCTAGTCACCCACCGAGGCTCTTCCCCGCGGACCCCTCATCCTGACCTTGCTGCCGTCGGAGGTTTCCCGAGGTCTCCGTGCTCACTAGTAACCCCGCGGCTGGGACCGAGCCGACAAAATCCAGTTAGGTGCGAGCCAGCGCAGCGCCAAGGGGTTGTTGCCTCTCTCTGGTGATGGAAGTGTGGTTTATGGTGCCAAAGCTCCATATCCTTCTTTGGCTGCTAACTTATATCTTGCAATCCTGTTTCTTTTCGTATCCACCTTTTCCCCCTCTCTCACCCCTTCATCTTCCGAGCGGTTTGGGCTGCACGGGGCCTTAATCCCGTGTGAATCTCCGTTCCCCAGTGGTTCCCCAAGTCTGGCTTAGCCTTGAGCAATCCGGCGAGTTAACGGGTGGAATGAGCCAAGTCTGGCCCCAGCCGTTTTCACCCACCTGCCCAAGAGTTTGCCCACGCAGGTCGGTCTCGGCCCAGCCGGGCGACCCAGAGACGAGCGCTTGGCCAGGCCGTGAGCCCCCCAGGCCGCGAGCGCTCGGCGAGTTGCATATGGTTCCTCCTTTTCTCCATTTATTTATTTTTATTTATTTCTATTTATTTATTTATTTTATTTTATTTTCGCAAATGGTGATTCTTGGGGAAGCTTTGTCCGCTGCAAAAGCCTTTTGAGTTTCCGGTCCCTGTAAAGTATGCTGTTACATTTTCTTGTACATAAGGTATATATAAATATATATACATATCTCTATATGTATGTATATAGATATATACATATATAACGAGCTCTAAATCCTGTACAGTTTCAAACTGAACTTGATGGCCTGCTTTGTTTTCTCAGTGTTAGTAGAATTAGCTGCTTTTAATTTCTGTTTTCCTCTTTCTGTTTTCTTTTTATAAATATATACATAAATATACATATATATTTTGTTGTTGTTGTTGCAAAATTCTTGTCACTGGAAAAGAACAGTTGATTCTGGTGCAAATAAAAAAATAAAACCACACACACACACACATGCACACACATGCACACACACACACACACAGAGAAAAGAGAAAGGCGTGATGGATCTCCCCGATGTAAATTTGTACAGTAACATTTATAACGTTTTCTACACTTTAAGAAAGTATTTATAATTTCCGCTGTCTGACTGAGTGCGAATCTCTGTGACCTGCCGAAACGGTTAGCCATTCGTTCCCGTGGTTTCAGGGTTTTTTTTCCTCTTTTTTTTTATTTCTTTCTTTTTCGTGCAGTGTTTGGTGAGGTGACAGTGTATGAATTATTTATGCCAATAAAAAACTTTGCAAATGATTGCACCCCAGGCTCGTGCTGCTCTGCCTCTCCCGGGGGGCCTGGAGCATCCTCGCCGCCCGGCCCCGTGGAGGAGACACTGGGGCTGCGCGCAGCTGCCGCTCGCTTTGTTGCCTTCTCCCACGCTGTTTGACCGCGGGGCCAACATCAATCTGCAACTGCCGCCGATGCCGCGGTTTGGGAGAAAAGCGCAGCAGGCTGGTAGCGCTTCCGCCCAGCCCGTCCCTGCTCTGAGCGCTCGGACGGCCAAGCAACGACGGCTCGCCGTTAATAAGCTGTGAACGCGCGATGCTCGCCCTGGCGATGGCCTCCAGGAAACTGTGTGGCGTGCCGGGCAGGGGTTATCATCGCCTTCGGGATGGGGAAAGTGAGGCCGAGCGGAAGGGGCTGTCCCAGAAGTAGAGGGTTTGGGGCCAAAGAGCGGGTTTTGGCTGCTTGCCAGCACCAGCC